AAGTTGTTAATTTCAAAAAATAATAATGCTGTCCTTTATAGTATTTGTTTTTATGTTTTACATTGAGGACCAATTGAACCATATTGACAACTTGTTTAGAAAGAAAAAGAGTGAGTCGTTTTTAACTTGCGAAATTAATTACAGAAGAGTAGATGGATGCCTACTTTAAGAACTGCCTGAGAAGATGGGTTAGGACCAACAGAAGTTCATTTTGAAGGAAATCATTGGAATTTAAGTAGCCTTGATGAGTTACTCATTTCTAGAAAGGAACATAGTCATTTTTTGCACTTTAATGAGTTTCTGTACATGATAGTCACTGAAATGTCCAGAAGAGGGCCCTGATTAGGAACTTCCCTCTGTTCTCCCTACCATCCTGTTCTGGGCATTTACTTTAATTTTCCTGTCATAATTTTATGAAATCTAGGTGGTATAATAAAACTTTTATTCGATATCATTCACAGGGTTCTGCTCTCCTAACTAAATCTCAACTGATGTAATGTTAATATCATTTCACTGAATATCATGTAGAGAAACTCATTAAAGTGCAAAAAACAACAATGAACTCCAAAGTTGCAATGCACTTCAGAAGAACCCATATTCTCATTGCAAAGCAGCACGTGTACATACCCCAGGTTCCAAAGAATTCAAAGCAGAGGCCGTTCAGAGCTGGAGAAGCCAAATGACTGCCACTCCAACTCAGGTGATGAGCAACAGCATGTACATCCTGCTCAGAGCTCTGGAGCCCCCTTCCAGCACATCAGCTGCAGCTGTACTTCTAACTTGCAAATCACATAGCAAGGTCTCTGGGGCCAACACCAACCCAGAGCCATTCAGAGAAATGTAGCTGCTGCTCACTAAGGTGACACAGTGCAAATCTGTCACATAAATAGACTATAAAACAGGAGAAAGAAAAAAAACTATGGAGATGATATAATACAACTCTCTCATTATATAGATGTGAAAACTGGAACTTCCAGAGATGAAGGCTACCCAGTGTCACAGAGCTAGTGGCAGGTCTAGAAACTCAAACCCATGGGTTTCCACATGGGCAATATCACAAAAGCAAGGATGGGTGTGAAGTTAAAGCACCTAAGGTTTTGGTATTAATTTGTTCTTAGAAAAAATTCACTCAATTTCTGTATTCGTATTTTCTACTGAGTGAATGGTATGAACCAGGCCCAACAAATTAGAGATGCTCGCTTAAAAGATGAATAAATGAATAATCTCCCATATTACAAAGTTGTCCTATGGTTTAAGGTTTTAAAAGATAATTGAAACTGTATTCCTGCATCTCAGTAATGAGCCATCCTTATAGGTTCTCATGAAATCTGTCCAGGGCTAGAATGAATCATCCAGTCGCTTCCTCCTCTATGCAAATCAGATTTCCAATCTCTCACCCAAGCAACAATTAGACTTTCTACATTCTTCTTGCCACCACAAAGTGGCTTCTCACTAAATCTATTCAGTCTGACCTTTTCAACAGGTGTCATAGCCAAGTAAGCAAGATTCTAGAGAGTAATGAGAGGAAGAAGCTGGAGGAAAATAAGATTTCTAGTTACATGTTTCTAGATCTTTGCTCATGAGTTTGTAATCAGCATTTAGCAGGAGTGGCTCAGCTCTGCTGCACGTGGGATCAGCTGGGGTGGCTCTAATACCTGAGGCTCAAATTATTCAAAGATATCCACCTGCAGCTAGGCTGCTGGCCAGAGCACTACACATGGATTCTCCATGTGGTCTGTATGCTTCTAGATGGTGTGACAATTGCCTGCAACAGTGAGCCTTCTAAAGGGACTGGGCAGAACATCTAGTGCCTTTTATGATCTTGCAGACTCCTAAGGACATCATTTCTGCCATAGTCAAAGGCCTGTTAGATTCAACAGAGGGAGTTTAGATTTCTCTTCCAGTGAGAGGAATGTTATTATTACCTCTAAGGAGAGCTATGGGGTAGAGAGTGATCAGTACCCAGGCTGAGTTTATAAATACAGTGCGTCAACTAAAGAGGTCTTGCCCAACAATACCCCAAGAGCACATGTATGTGTATACATATATAATAATGCTCACTTACATAGCTAATGAGAATGTGGTAAATGAGATCGTGGTAATCTTAGGTAAAAATTGCTTCTGGGATATTTTCAGTATTATAACTAAGGGTAAGGACAAGGAACTGAGTCTTTCAATTATTTTAAAACAAAATTGCTTCATCCTCCTCATCTACTTTCTCTTGAGTAAAATAAATTGGGCTGCTAAATTTTATACTTAAATCATTTCTACAGTAACAGATCCTAATGTGCTAAAAGATGGCTTATAATTCCTTACAATATTTGAAAAACCTGGAAATGGACTGTATGTATGGTGCTTAAAAGTACACTTAACAGCAGAGAATAACACTGAGTTTCCTCACACAAACAGGGACTGACACATGCAGATATTCATGCACATAGTCTCACACGCTCACCCTCACACAAGGAACTTGTCTTATTACTCTTAAACATAAAAGGAAATAGGTAGAAATGAGATTGGTTAGCTTGGTCTCCTTACGGTTACATTAAGCCACATTTTATTATTTTTGATTTTTGTTCAGTAAGGTGATTTTAGAAATAATCTGACCACTTGAAGGCTAAAGGAAAATAAGTCATCAATCTTAGATACTGAAGTGAGTATAATTATGAATTTTGGAATAAACTATAGCCCAGTACAAGTGGAGAGTAGCATGTGTCCAAGGGAAGATAATAAGGTTGAACATAATCTTATTATTAATTTTAGGATGTTTAATTATGAAGTACTTCAAACATTCAAAAAACTATAGAAAATAATATAGTTATTACGTACCCACTAGCATAGTTCATGTTTATTAGTCTTTTACCATATTTGTGTCCAATCTCTTTTCTTTCTAAATAAATAAAATATCAACAATTCAGTAAAATACTTATCTCTTCTTTTACCTTCCCTCCTTTTCCATAAATCCTTCTCATCCTAAAGTTATATGTGTCATCCTTTTGTGTTTTTCCACATATGAGTACTGGTAAAAGATAACCTGAGGCACACAAAAATTTTAGAGTTTGCAGACAGTGATTTATAAATTGGGCAGCTCCAAATTGCATGAGGTCCTGAAGGGATCCCAAGGGGCTTTTGTAGGGTGAATGTGGACATAAGACTAATAAAATGTTTGGTGGGTTAAAGTGGAGGAGTAGTCTTATTTGAATCATTCCAGGGCTAATACCTTAATTAGAGGGTTGTTGGCAGTTTCTGATTGATTAAATTTAAGTTTCTTGTTATTGTTTGCACTCAGTTGCTTACGTACAGACTTAGACACTGTAGCCACCTCAGACTAATGACCTGTAGAGTAGTCATATTAGTTGTACTTATGAATGGATCTCTTCACTGTTGCATTTTTATCCTTTAAAATTATGTAGAAATGGTATCACAGAGTATATGCCCTTTGGCAATTCATTTCCATCACTCAACATTATGATTCTGAGCTTTAGCCACAGGCCATAAACATGCCATAAGGAGAGTGGAGATGCACATTCATTATTGCACAGAGTTAATCATTGATTCAACCACATGTATAGTTCACTTGGAGATTGAATTAATGGGGCAGTTTTTGCATCTGTAGGAAACATGAATGATTTTGCAGACAGAACCAGACACCAGACCCAAAACTGAAAACAGAAGAAAGGAAATGTGGTTATTTGTATGCTAGTCTTTCCATTTTTGAAGTCTAGCTGCTTTCCCTTATAATACATCCCATGAGGGCCATTATAAGACCATGGCCTTTATTTAGGACAGCAGAAGAGTCCAGTAACTGCCCAGGAGGCAATCAACCCTTGCTGAAGTGGAGATCAGGCAACTTCCCAAACCCCTGTGCCTTGGCTTCTCTTCTTGTCCTAGCAGATCTTCTGTCTTACAGGGTACTGTCTGTTCTTGGTAGCAGGATCTACACCCCACAAGTTGGGAGAACTGTGGGGTTACAAGGATGACATCCCTTTGGGTGCTTTCTTGTCCTACTGCATTCACATCCCCACTTCTCTTTCTTTCCTCCTGCCATGAAAAATGCCTTGCTTTATGCTTTCTTCAATTTGTCAGTTGCACTTTGATGGATTGAGTGATTTTTAAACTTTTTTGATATTGTTAAAACGAAAGGAACTAAATGGGTATTTATTTTCAGGACACAAAATGTAGTCACTGATTTAACTTCAAATATATGTGAATTACTGTGTATCTTTTGTCTCTTTATCACATTACTCTCTAAATGTTCCAGAGAAACTCCTTCCACATAGAAGCTCTTAAAGAGAGAAAAGGAGCTGTGCATACATTTTACTTTTGAGGTGATGTTTACTTATTCAACAATATCTACCAAATTAAATGCTATATTGACCTTGTGTCACTGTCAACTAATGTTTTATTTCTGTTACATTTCCGAGGGTGTTAGGCTAAAAGCAAGTGACTGTGCAAATTAAACTGCATGGAAGCTCTTTAGGCTGTGTTCAAATACTAACAGTTTTGATAAATATATTTGTCTAACAAGGGTAGGACAAAGAGCTCTTTGTTTACTGACATACTTTATTGTCATTCTGCTGTATACCTCTCATGTGGCTGTTTTATAGAACATAAAGTCTAGATATCCTGTTGGAATCTCAGCTCTTATTTATAGCTTGCTGCAAAGTGGCTTATTGTCATTTATTATTTCTTATTTGATTTATGTAACCTCTTTCCACCAAAGAGCCTGTGGGTTTATTTATATGTGGAGCATACACATACACACATCTACATTCACACAACTCTCTCTCTCTCTCTCAAACACACACACACACACACACACACACACACACACACACACACACAAACCCTTGAACTTCACTCAGTGCAGTGAAGTTACCAGTATAGCACCAAAAATCTGTATAAGGCTTTTCCATTTGTTTTTGTTTGTTCTAAGACCATGCTATGGGAAAGCACTTGCCACAATCCTTTAATTTTGAGTCTTTATTGTTTGCCTCTAGGTGGAACGGATTATCTTTTGTGTCTTCCTAGAAGTTGACTTCAAAATCTACAAAAAGAAAATGAGTGAGTTTTTCCCTATGGGTGAGTAAAGCTTTTTGTTTCCTTTGGAATTGAGGACTGGAGAAGTAGAGGCATCATTTATATGTGTGATAAGATTTAAATAATCTTCAAGACTGCCACAACTATGTTTCCAAACATCAGTCATTCTTGCCAACTTGTATCACAGTTTTTAAGAGCTGAAGGAAATGACAGGAGACCTGGGCTCTAAATCTCTGTCCCATTATGTCGGTGTGTTGTCTTAGAAAAGTCAGTACATCTTCTGGGTCTCCATTCCTCACATCAAAAGTGAGGGGTAAACCCAAATGACCCCTAAAGACCTTCCTTGGACCTGGATTGTATGTTCTTCTTCAACTTGCAGTATTTCCAGTCCTCATGCCTACCCGACTATGTTAAGCACCATTGCTGGAAACTGTAAAGAACCCATTTATATTCGTAGTAGGAGTTGAAATTATTCTTGCATTCCATCTCTATTCCATCCAATTTTCTCACTCAAAATTGCAGTGACTACTGCAGCACTTTCTAGTGTAATCTGAGAACAGTAGTTCATTCTCCTTATTTCTCACTTCTTTTTTGAATGTAGAAGAAACTTCAGGGTTATTAAAGAACCTTGAGTGATGGATTTACATTGATTGATGTGCCATTAGTTGGATTGGAGTAATATGAATATTTTCTCCCATTTTACCTCTTCTAGACTATTAAGGATAAGGCTTGTTTAATGCCTTGTTATTTTTATGGTACCATCAAAGTCATAGTGCCCAAAATGCTTTCGTTAGCCTTGGAAAAAGAATTTCCATGCAGGAAATTTCAAGTTACTGTGAACATTGTTAGTGTCTGCCTTTTTATAGAGATTTTCTTTGAGTTTTGCGTCTCCCTGAGAAAGTGGCTTTTCACACAGTGGGTGACTGTAGTAGATGGGGAGGAGTGAATAAAGGTCCTGGAGCACATTCCCCTTTAAATTATCCCTCAGAACCAAACAGAAAGTAAGTATGCCCTGCCCTCTGATCAAAGTAGGGAGAAGCTGTCAAGAACAATGGCAGAAACCCATTTTAGGTATTAATGCTTTAAATGGGCCAAGGTTGTCTGAGTAATTTGAAGTCCTTTTACCTAATTTTATAAATGAAAGGTGAACCTGCTATTTGGTAGATTAAACTTTCCTAACACAAACAGAAGGTAAATTCCTCAGACTCATATGATAAACAACAAGGCTGTGGTTGTGACCTTTTTTCTCCCCTCTCTTCTCTTTTTCATCTTCACCTCCTGTTTTTAACCTTTATATTTTTTAGCAACTCAGTGCTTTACTGTGTAAAGTATATAATAGCTATTTAATAAGCAGTTGTTAAGAGCTGAATTTAATAAATTTGTCTCATCATAATCAGATGGCCTTTTTTCTGTTTCAATCTCCTTTTTTCCATCTTTTCTCTGAATTTTCATTATAATCACAAAGAGTTGATTGGTGCTTGTAATTTCAAGTATTGTTAAAATGAATAGTTCAATATTTTAAAAAATAGAACTTTTTTATTTTGTATAATGCTAATATTCCCATATCTTGTAAATACAACAGCATAATTTATAAGATTTTATAAATTTTAGACTCCTTGAGATTTTTTAAATAATGACATTATATTCATTTTCATATCTTCTAAAATGAAAACTTATTTCTAATATATAATAAAAATAATTATGGACTTATGATCCATTGATATTGAATCAAATCTATCAGGTATTTCCAATAATGCAGAGCTAGAAATCACACTGCAAATTTAAGAAAATGAGAAAGTTTTAGGGGTCACAAATATATTTATTAATAACTGTGCAAATAAATTAATGTTGCTACTCTACATAAATCCAAAAACTCATCTCAGTACTTGAGCAAATAAAATAACAACAAAATCATATTTAGTTTCACATCAGTGCTTTGAAGCACACCATACTCATGAAATTATTTCTTGGATATATTTATAACATTGAGACAACATTTTCAAATCCTTGATGATTGTGGAGTATTTCTGCCATGTTCAGGAATCAGCCATTTGTAAATTCTAAATATGCAATATGAAATAAAGGTAATGTTTATGGAAGATGTGACTGCTAATATAAATGATATACTTTATTTGTCCTTAATTTGAATTTATAGTTAATTCATAATCATACCATCTTTGATTAAACTATAATTTTTCCTGGCTTACCATATATTTCCCCAGACTGACTTATTCAGAATATCTCTAACTAGTGTTCATAACCCTTCCAAATGCAAAAATAGTAATAGTTCAGAAAAAAGCCATTTTTATGTGAAACCAAACCTTGTTTGGAGATATCTTAATCCCATGTTAATAAATTTCACAATTGAGAATCTGAAGCAAAATGTATATGAAAACACTGAAAGTTACAGTAGAAGAGATCGTACTAATGATATGACACATGCATAATTGCTACCTATTATTTGCCAGAGTGCCTTCTATCAGCCAGATACACCATTCATTTGTTTACTTGGGCTAATCAGTTCATCTTCAGGAAGCAGGCACTGTATTAACCCTGTGTTGTGATTTCTATTGTCATAGTTTCTTTCTAATATGGACCTGAGGTCTGTCTACCTTGAGAGTGGTTTTAAGCAAGGCTGCACATTTTCTAGGGGAGCCCTAACTGCCGAGAAAGTTAAGTTCATGTGTGTGTGTCAAGAGAGGCACAATGAGGACACAAGACCAAAATGTATGAAACAGGAAATGTATTACTCACAGGTCCACAGAGGTTAGGGGTGCTGTTAGGAGGCTAGTAGAAGCTTGTAGGCAGCAGAAAGCTCAACCAGCAGTTACTGGGGGAGTGGGGAGCTGCAGGACCATGCAGGTTCATGAGTGTTATTCCTTAGGCTTTCCCAGAGGGCCTGTGGATTGTCTAATTTAAAACAAACCTTCACAAAGAGGGAGGTTAGTTACGTGACTTTCGGTCTGACTATCAGATTTGATCATGGTCAGGAGCCATGGGATGTGTTGGGTTTTGGAGTCAGTGGGATGAGGAACTAGTGGGCCATATCACAAAAAGAAATGGAGGTCTTAATAGGCAGAAGTGAGTGGGGTATAACTGAGTTTCCAACAACTGTCAGGTCTGAAAACAGATGCTGAGGCAGTAACTGCTTTATACAATCTGTAACACCCTACTTTTTAGATATGGGAAAAGAGGCATAATTGAAGAAAATGTGACATCCAGCTAGGAAGCAGCAGAATTATATTTTAAAATTAAGAATGGCATCTGTCATTGCACAAGTGATAATTGGTTGGTTTATTCAGAGCATCGTCAGAGAAGGCTGAGGTCGACTTCCAGGGTGTATTTGAAGCAGCATGAAAGTCCCATCCTTAATTTCATGTACTGCCCATCGGTTTTCAAAGCTGCCATACTTCTTTTTCTTCTAATACCTATAAATGTCCTCATGGAAACCTGTCTAATATGAATCATTGGTACCTAACCACGAGTCTCAGAATTTAATTCTATCCAAATCATCCAGGCAGCATGGCAGGTGAACAGATCAATGGTAATGAGGAAGCCACAGACCTTTTAGCATTACTACAAGATGAGATAGAGGTTGCTTATATTAGCTTTCCTAGGGCTGCAAAAACAAAGTACCATGGACTAAGTGGTTTAAACAACAGAAATACGTTTTCCCCCAATTCTGGGGTCCAGAAGTCCAAGGACAACGTGATGGCAAGGTGCATTTCTTTTGAGGACTCTTTGCTTGGCTTGTGGATGACCATATTTTCCCCTGTGTCTTCATATCACCTTGCTCTGGGTGGCCTGTGATCTATCTTCCTCTTCTCATATAGTTACCAGCCATACTGGATAAGGGGTCACCCTAATTAACTCATTTTAATTTAATTAACTATTTAAAGTCTCTATCTCCAGAACAGAGAGACTTTCTGAGTTACTGGGGGGTTGATGGGTTGATGTATGAATGTAGGCAGGGATACAACTCAGCCAATGACAGTGTCCTTCGTGGAAATGCAGTAGGAACTTCAAAGGAAAGGAATCAGCAATGATCTTTTTCAACAGTTTCATGTCTTGCTGTAGGGTGAAGCACATTTGACTTTTTCCTTCCAGATGTATTATTTGGAAGTAGAGTGTGGCAGTTTTATGGAATTATCATACACTTTGGTTGCAAATAATTTATAGTTACAGTGCACCATTACATGGCCTAAAGCAAAATAATATTTCTGTGATTTAACTCAAAAATCTTTGTTCTTAATATAAAAGGCATGTATTTTTCAATGTGTAGAATTTATTGTGTGCAGTTTTCATTGAATGTATAAAGAAAAAAAGATAATTCCTGATCTATGATACAGAAGTTAATTTTTTATGAAGTTTAAGTCCTAATAAAAAAGTGAAAGGAAGTTAATTTTTGTCGTAAGAGCAATAAAAAAGTGACAGCTTTGTAAGTACATCCAAGAATCCTGATGTTGGAAGCTTGTGAAGTCCTCTTTCTCCCTTCCCCTTTAGGGAAAGCCTTATTTGTTCACTGCAGTGGTGTCTAACTATAGATGATTTTACCCTCCAGGGAATATTTTGAGCTTTTTATTCATAAACATGGGAGAGGAGAAGCAGTGATAAGTATTCTGCAATGCACAGGACAGTTCCTCCATAAGGAGGGTACTATCCAGCTGCAAATGTCTGTGTTGCCGAGGCTGAGAAGCTATCTGTTGCATTCACCCCTCTCTTTCAGGATACCAAGCTAGTCTTTACCTTTGAACTGGATTAATTTTTTTAGTGTTCTCCCTCCTGATGCCTTACCCTAACTTCTCTGACTAACTGAATTTGGAAGCTGCATTTTAAAGATATGGTTTTTATGCCCGAAGAGGCAAGAATTACACAGAATAGTTGGAACACAGTATTGGCAAGTATCACATTGGCATGGTCATAGTATTCAGGAATTCAGAAGCAAATACATATGCCGACCAGGTTGGTTAGGACAAGTTTCATGAAGAATGTGGTCCTTGCAATGACCTTTAAACAGGATGAATGGGAGTAAAGAAGTGATG